CGTTAGATGTGTCAACAAAAACACAAGTGCATCTTTAAGTGTAGGAGTTTTTGTGCCTGAATGATTTATAAGTGTTCAGTGGCTAACAAACAAATATACAAACAAAGATAAAAGATTTGTTTAAAAATGGTCAGGACTGGAAAACAASTAAAGTAGTCAAATTCCAAAAAAATATCCTTTCAGAAAGCATAAAAAGGACTAATCAAGACCACTTTAAGACTACCATGCATGAATGTCTATGAAGTAAATCAACTCATGGGATAGACACATATTTTGTGGTTTTCTTCCTAAGAATAGAGTCATCTCTGTGGTTGTTGCATGCAGTCAGGTGTTGGATAAAAACAGCACACTGACTGTAAATCTCTGGTTTTAGGAAAGAAAGGCGCAATCAAGGCCTCGCTGTTGTAATAGACGGCAGAAAGCAGCCGGCTGTTCCAGCTCTGTTGTCATCTCTGTTTGAATTTCAGGTGAGCCCGCTGTGGAAAGTATGTAATTACCCTCCAACACACCCTAAAACCTTTACCCACCCCCCAACCCCACTGAAGTCTCTGCTGTCCTCCGGAGCTGTAATGCTACGTCTCTCTCCCAGAGTCATGATATTATGTCATTCCTTTCATGTTTGCTATTGTTCTGCGCCTCAGACGGTGTGCGGCTTGTGTTTTTGTAGAGGCACACCTTAAACTTACAGTGGCTCTAGTTCCAAGACCTTTTTTTTTAATGTCTGGCCTTAGGGCCATCGTTGACAAGCCTGTCTTTACTTGTCTGTTTTTAACCACCAGCTGGGTGCTGGTTGGCTGCAACCAAGTCAAAAGATACACATCATCTTATTATTGTCAGGATCTTTTTTAAGGTTTCTGTAATGATGCAAACGTCATTTAAATTGCCTATTTTTTTTTAGTTATGAATACTGTTTTTAATGTTAAATGTAAATGAAAGTTGTTTGTGTTTGTTTGTTTGTTTTTTGTCAGAGTTTATTACCGAATGCACTTTACTCAGTTCTGTTCTTGGCGGACAAAGATGGGTCGACCAAACTTGATAGAGATCTCAACGTGCAGGTAAAAATGCCTAAAAAGTCACACCAGATTTCACAATTGTTTGCAAGATTTCAAATTCAATCAGTCTGCTTATTGCTACTTTTTTTTTTCATCTTATCTTTTTTATCACAAGATCTGATGACTGAGGTTGGGTACAAGCAGGATTTATCCCTCAGGGCAGTTAAAGCTGTTGTTGTTTTAAGGCGTGACGAAGASAACGTTTTTATCAGAGCCTCGATGTTCACCCTTTTTTTTCTTTTTCTTGGCACAGACTGAGACACTTTCATCCCTGAAGGCCCTGGTAAAGCACATCGACCAGACCCAGCTGACACCAGACCTGGACGGCACCTTCCACTACAACCATGAGCACTGGATCGGCTTCAGACAGGTTGGATTAATACGACTGTTTGCRTCATTACTGATGGGTGGATGGATATCTACAACTGCTTACCATTTGGAGTAATTTAAAATGGCCACCGCGTATAATCACCCTTAGATAACACAGAAGTTATTAAAACTTA